TATCTAGTGATTCAGGAACATTAGCTCTCTTGAAGGGATATATCTATAGACTCTAAAAATGCTGCTATATACTCCTGTAGCCCAAACACTTCAGCAGCAGACAACAGCAAAGAGTTAATATTTTATAAACACACTTTAAGGATGATTTCAAACCTGGCTTCCATTTATTTACATGCCAAAAAAGGCATCCAAGTGTGACCAAATGTAGGGGAAATTGCTTGTATTCCTCAAACTGAAAAGCACTTAAAACAAAAAAATATTTTTAAATGGTTGCAGGTCACTTTTTTTTTAAGGCAAATCAAGGGGTCTTGATGTAGGTGTAATATACACAAAATATAGGCCAGTTCAGTGGGAAAATATTACCGGTACTTAAAAACAATGAGATGCATCCCCCCCGCCCCCCCCTATGTGAAGGGCTATACTTTATGTATCACACTCTATGTAAGTAATATGGGTTTCATACTAATACTTTGGCACTTCTATAGCTTGCTTCTGGGAAGCAGGTCTGTAGTGTGCAAGGCAAATGTCTTTAGTGTTATGTCCATTTAACAGCATGGGAAACAGTAGCACACAGGTTAAAGGGCCCAGTCCAACTCCCCTTGCTTGCAGTGGGAGCTGGACTGAGTCCTATTTAACTTCCTCAAAGTCACACACTGAGTTGTGGACAGATTCACTTATAGAATCAAGAACTCTTTAATGGCCTGCATCCTAACTACTAGAAACTACTGCCTTCTATTTATGCTCAGCTGCTAAGTAACTAAGCAGCACAGCTACAATGATTTTTTCTCAGACTGTTTTATCATAATTTAACTACCTGCCACACCTATATTTCAGATGATCCCATTCACAGATATGGCGATAGCTTGACACCTCCATTAAAAGAAGTGCATGTGCTTCATTTCCACTGGGACAGCCTCGTGAAGGAGAGGTGATGTTCCAACAGCTACAGGTGGTAAAGCAGCATTTAAAAAAAAAATTCATCCCCCTTCAGTCTTGGCCCTGAAGCCATCATTTTTCACTGTGGATGGGAAGGCTTATGGTACCTAGCCACGGTGTTCATTAACCAGCCAAAGGAGTCAAGTCCTTCCCTTTCTTTTCTTGCTATCAAGGCCTGAGACTTCACAGCACACCCAACAACTGTCAATCTAGAGACTAAATTCTGATTTCCGTGACCCGTGTTGAAATCCACTGAATTCAGTGGAGTTACAATTTACATGCATGTGCATGTATTTGGTCCTGTGAGTGAAACCCAAACCTAGGCAGGTCCCTAGCAGGTCACTGGATTCCCTTCCACAGCAGAGTCTATTTAAACTTGACTTTCTTCTGAATCTCTGGCTTGTAACCACTTTCTCATTAGGATTATGAGGTTTCCTCCTTTTCTTGACATTTGTGTGCGCAATAGTAGTCAGTGTAGCACCTTTCCCTTAGGCCCTGGATACTATGGCTGCCCTTCAAAAGCTAATGATCTCACGAGTGAACAATCTGAGTGTTTCCTCTTCTTTTTCTCATTTATAGTCCTTGCATCAGTAGACAGTGCTGGTTTTGGGGATTGGCCTCATCATCCCAAAAGCAATAACTGTCTTATTTCTATAATATGTCTTATAGAATGATTAAAAAATCAGCAGGTTGAGCTTTCCATTAGCCTCCCCAATTACTGTGATCACCTTCCTAAAAGCTGTTGCTTTATATCAGTGCTTCTGTCCTTTCTCTTGCTTCACCATCCTTACTACTCCATTCTCTCTCCTCCCCCTTCTCATATTCCTTGCTTTCAGTGTGTTTCGGACAAAAAAAAATCAAATCGTTATGGCTCACTGAGTGTTAAAGAAATGAATACAGAAGGGACATGGCCCTAACATGTACCTGCAGTTAAATTCACAATCAGTATAGTGTAATATCACAGAAAGTCATTGTTTAAATAGATATAGGGCCTGGGTCTGAGCAACCACAATGTTTATCTAGGAACTTCACTGTGTAAAGGCCAATAATAGTTAAGTGGGCCATCAAGTACACATTTGCCTGCTCTCTAACATTTACCCCACTGGTCTGTTGTAATGACTTTCAGGTTATTTTCTACTCACTTTAAGCTCTGTTTCTGGCTCCTTCCCCAGTCAATTTTTGCTCTCTTTTATCTATGTATAATGGAGTGGAACTTGCTCTGATATTTTTAATGTACAGTTTGTCCAATAAATACATTATGCACAGGCCACTTCAAACAATATACAGAATTATGATACATAATGTTAAACCACATTTTAGCATTAAAATGTTTTCTAGTATACACAACACATGCATACAGTGCATCTTGAGTTGACAACTTAATTAAATATTGGCAATATTATTTGAATTTCCCAGTCTGTGGAAAAAGTTATTACACATCCCTTATTCACATACACTGGTTTTTGCAGTGTGTATGTGAAATATTGATAACTAAACAATGAGATAAGTTTGCATTTCCATCAAAGGATCAGTGAATGTAGTGTCACACTATCCTTGTGAAGTAGGTATTATCCCCATTTTACAGATGGAAAAACTGAGAGCATCAAGGTAAAGTGACTTGCTGATGGTTATATACGAAGTCTGTGGCAAAGCTACAAATAGAACCCAGACATCCTGACACCCACTCCTGTATGTTTACTACAAGATTATCTTTCCTTCTTGCAGTAGATGTTTGTTACAGGCTTTCACTGAAGTGAATGCCATTGAAAACAAATATGGTAGCCTTTCCTTTTTACAGTTCAGGCTGCAGCAAGAGTGCTTATGCTTTCAATATGAGCCTCTATTTTGAAGGATTTATAATTTAGGAGGTAAATAACCCTATGCTCCAGTTTGTCATCAGAAATATTAGGCTAAGAATAAAATTTCACAAAATTAAAAAAATTAAACCACAGTGTATTGCTGTACTTGAGCTAAGAGAACAGGAATCCTAGTCCTGTATAACCCCTCAACCTCGTTTAGTTGTAGGGACGAATCATGCAAATATTCATGCATGTAGTTAGCTTTGTGCACATAAGAAGCCACGCTGAAATCCATTGTTTTGCTCACAGGGTTATAGTTAGGTGCTTCTGCAAGCATTCGCAGCACTGATCTTTACTTTGTTTCACAGCAATTGCTGCCACATTAGATGCATAGGCAATTCATGTTTCACCTTTTAAGGCACGTTCCTGCATGTATGGTTTGGATTGTCAGTTCTTCATTCTAAACACTGAAAATATACCGTGATTGGAACAAAATGTTTGAAACTGTCACATGACTAATCATTGCTGTAATGAAATGTGCCTTATGCAGTTATGCATGATGGCTTTTGTGCTACACAATGATGCAGCCTCAGTTACCAAACAAAAATTCACATTTTACATATATTCTGTTCTCTCTCTCAGAACTAGGCAGCTTTCATTTTGCACGCACAGAATCCACAGCCAGAACTATATACTAAATGCATACAATTTTTCAGCACGGGTTCCTAATGATTTTTTACATAACTATGCATCAAGTTTACACATTTTATTAAGCAATTATATATACATATATAGTTATTTACTGAAATCATGACAATATTGATCATTAGCCCACGAAGTACATGTAAGAAAAGGCAAATTCACATAATAAAATTTGCTTGAAAAGAACCTCATCATTATGAAACAATTCCCACAACTACCGGACAAATCCAGAATGTAGGTACAAAGAAGAGCCTGGCTTAAATTTACCCAGTGGAAGCTGGTTTTGTAAAGTAACAGGAATTTCCTTTGTAATTGTGAAGTTCCTGTGTTCTGCTGTGTGGGTTTGTTTCACAACATGAACTCCTCTGTTGTTCTTCAGAAGTTTCTACAATTTGTTATGCTATAGCAAGTCAGTTTTTTCCTTATGATAAACTGTAACAAAACAAAAGATCACATCCCAATCCATAACAAACAATGGTAATAAGACACAATATCAGCTTTTACTTACAATGTTAATTTTGTGCGAGAGCTGCACCAAAGCAAGGAGATTGTCAAAATTAAAGCTGAGCCTAAGACCACTCTGTTTGCTTAGGTTTTACAAACACATTTAGGGCCTAATCCATAACCAAGCGAAGTCAACAGGAGTTTTTCCATCAACTCAGACAGATTTTGGATCAGGCCCAAATATGCTTCATAGATAGCATTCATTTTGCATCTTTTTATTCAGTGATTACCTTGGACCTTATCCCTTCCCTTTCTGTTGTAAGTTTCTGTGTTTGTCTGATCAAAGATGAGATAGCTTGTGGCCAGCAACAGCCCAGGTGTCCAAGCAAGGGGAGGGCATAAGAAGACATTCCCCGCATCCCAACCTTCTTAATTAGGGACTGTTCACAGCTGCCATCTTTGTGCTTCTCCCAAGAGCGAGCACAGAAATGTTCAACATTTAATGTCTATGTGCTGTATGCTTTAAAAACTGAAACAAAGTTTGCCACATCTGGGGGCTGAATTTCTCTCCTCTCCTAGTCTCAATCACTGATGCACTGGCTGTGCAAGGGCAGAAAAAAACTCCACAATTCTGGTGCCAAAATTATAGCCAATAAGTGGGTGAGGATCTGCCACTCAACAATAATGCCAGCACAGATAGCAAATACACCTCTCCCCCAATATAACGCTGTCCTCGGGAGCCAAAAAAATCTTACCGTGTTATAGGTGAAACTGCATTATATCGAACTTGCTCTGATCCACCAGAGTGCGCAGCCCCACCCCCCCGGAGCACTGCTTTACCGCATTATATCCGAATTCGTGTTATATAAGTCGCGTTATATCAGGGTAGAGATGTATCACGGGAGCCTCACCTGTATATACACAGTCAGGGAGCATCTACATTTGGGGTACGTCTTCACTACCCGCCGTATCGGCGGGTAGCAATCGATTTATCCGGGATCGATATATCATGTCTCATTGAGACGCAATATATCGATCCCCAAATACGCTCACCGTCAACTCCAGAACTCCACCAGAGTGAGCGGCGGTAGCGCAGTTTACGGGGGAGCCGCGGCCGTCGATCTGGCGCCGTCTGGACCCCAGGTAATTCGATCCAAGATACTTCGACTTCAGCTACGCTATTCGTGTAGCTGAAGTTGCATATCTTGGATCGATCTCCCCCTCTCAGTGTAGACCAGACCTTGGAAGACATAAAAGCCTTTCTGTGCAGGTGCAGTAATGAGTGTTAGCCACCTCCTTCTTAAAGGACATAGCGCTAAGAAATTCTGCACTGTGTCTGTACTAGAACCCTTCCCATTGGCAGAACTACTGGATCTGAACTACTGAAGAAAGATTTTCCTAGTGTAAACAAGGCCTGAGTGTACTTCTAACACAGCACAGTGGAATCGCAGGGCCAAATTCACTTCTGGAGAAACTTCATTGACTTGAATGGAATTACCCGTGATATATTTAATCCACAGTATTTACAAGAATATAGATATGCTGACATAAAGCCCTCGACTAAGAGCTTCATATAGAAATAATAATAGAAAAATTAAGGGAATTAATATATTTCTTATTTTAAAGTTTCTTTTATTTACGCCTATTTCTAACAGAAGGCTGCTAGTACTAGGATCCCTATTACATTGAACCCTTGCGCTGGTTAAAAGGCCACCACTGACATATTTGTGGCCAGCCACCAAAATAATGTAATAATTTGTTAATTATAGCAGTTGCTGCAGCTCTCATTACAGTAGTGGTTGCAAAACAGTTTCCATAATAATACTAGCTAGGTATTTTTCTTGAGGAAAGTGAGTTTGCAGCCTATGAGAGCAAGGGACTAAGAATCTGGGCTACAACTGAGTACAGTGCTGGTTGTCTGCCTGCATCTTTTGCAGCTGTGCAAATGCACTTCAATCCTAACCTGCAACAGCCTCCTGCTTTTCCAGTCCTCAGGTTCTCCTTAGTGGAAACTGCCAATCATGATGAATTGTAACAGATTGCATAGTGATTTTGTGATGTGCATGAATAGAAGAGACCATCAAACACATTTTCACTTGTGACCTAAGCCAGAATTTGAACTCAACTCTTTGGAGGTGCAAAGCTCATGCAAGAATTAACTCTAACTCATAGCACAACCCACAGATTCCCTTGGCAATAGACTGGCCTCAGAATACCTGTTACAGCACAAAAGTCCAAAGGGAAGTGCCTCTGCTTCATTATAGTTCTGTTTTATATCCCAATCTCTGAAACACACACATGCACACTTGTAAAACAGGTCCACTTTCCAATGCAAATCACACTGGGCAGCCAACTTTTACTGAAACACAAATAATCTCAACCCTGAATCATTTTAATCCACTCGGTTGTCCACTTTAAGAAAGTATAAAGAGACAGTAAAGCAAAAAGAATGGCTGCTAGGCCAGGGATAAGGGACACAAATAAAGCCACTAAAATTAGATGAAATGTGAACTAATTATCTATTTATTCCAAATGCTGGTGGGGGTTACTGCATTCTTGACAGGGGAAAGATAGATTAAGTGAATTTACTAGTCTTTGCCATGAATGATTTCCATAGGTTTTTTTTGGGTGGGTGGGGGGGAGCTGGACTGGATTTCATGGACACAGGACTTTACAGGAGAGACTTGAAATGCTTCACTAATGCTTCACTCTTCACTAATTAATACACACATTTCAATGCCTTTGTAAGCAGACAAGTGCTAACAGCTGTAGTTTTTTTTTATAGATGCAGAATAATCTCTAGTACATGCTGAGCAGAAGGAAACAGAGAACAACATGCTGCAAATTCAGAAGGTTTTCCGAGTCATGGATGTATTCTTTTATATATTCTATAAGCAAAGTTTGACCAGAGCAGCAGGCAACGCAGTACTGTGCCGAGTATTATCTCCAAGTATGTTACAGAGGAATAAAACCATAACAAGTGATGAGGATAGATTTAGTGGCACATAGTGCATTCTCATGCCAATTATTAATACACAATAGAATGTATATGAGCTTTGAACGTTTTCTTAATAGACTCTGTGCGTGATTTCACCATTGCTTTGCACCTCATTTACACCTATAAGAAGTGGGTGCAAAACTCCCACCAGTGTGAGTAGAGCATAATCATTTGGTAGCATTTGACACCTATTTTGTACAAAAGTAAATGGCTACACAAGTGGGAAGGAAGGGATGAATCAGACCTGTGTTTAAAATAATTTTTATAGTGTGAACAATAGGTCTTAAAGAACTGTTTATAGTTGATGGGAATTTTACAACATACCTTTTGTTAGGATACAATATCCTTTTTTCACCCTCTTTCCCTGTTCTTTATAACTAACAGTATCTGTTCTATCTGGGGACAAGATTTAATATCTGTTATGTGCTCTATCTGGGGACAATATCCTGCCCGGGCAGGTTAATGGTGAAGGAGATATGATAGATCTTTTCCATCTCTAATTTCCTTGATTTCATTTACATGAAAACATCTTGGTTTCTGAATAGTTTATTTCCTCCTGCAGTTTGTTCCCTGCCTGAATTCACAGTCCTATCTGTGATGTCACACTTGGCTGCTGCAGAAGTTATGGTCATGTTACAAACACAGGTTATAATTAGAGATGGGCAAATCTCAAAAGGTTTGTTTCAAATCAACATTCCTAGGACCTGATTTACATTACATTTACATTTACATCATTTACCTTAAGGCCTCTTTACACCACTCACACTCACTTTAAGGCCCTTTAAGATACCAGATTGGTGAAAATAGGCATTAAAGTAAATAAGACCCACTTTGTTTTTGCCACCAATGTGCTCAGAGGGGAATCAGCCCTCACAGATCCAGACTTAGTGGTGCTCAAAATATAAGTACCATCTCTGCAGAATGCTTCCCCCTACCTATCTAATGGCAAGTCTACACTACAAAATGAAGTCGACCTTAGTTAGGTTGACGTACAGCCACTGCAGTAATTACTGAGGTTTTTCATGTCCACACTATTTCCACCCCCCCGTTGGTGGTGCGCTTTCACCCTCTTGGCTTTGTGGGGCATTCACAGCTGGAGCCCTGCTGCTGGGGGTTGATAGCCCAAACTGTGAGCCCTGCAGAGGGCTAACAGCTGGAGCCACCACCACCACCCCACCGTGGGGCTGACAGCCAACAGGCAATGCAAGTAATGCAGTGTCTACACTGACCCTATGTCGCCCTACCTATATTGATTTAAGTGCTATGCCTTTCGCGGAGGTGGAGTTATTAATTCAGTGTAGTGGGTGATTTACATCGGTGGGAGCTACATTTTAGTGTTGATGCTTACAGAGTTAGGTAAGTAACATAACAGAGTTATGTCAATGTAACTCTGTAGTGTAGACCAGTCCTAAGTCTTCTCAAAATATTGACTCCATAGATTTCATCTGGATTCTGCCCCTTTACCTGACACCCTAGAAAGATCCACAGGGGAATTATTATTACTACAGACAGCTATTTTCCTCCTGTGTGCTGAAAGACAAACACGTGTTGAGTAGCAGGGATAGCTACAGTTTGGAGGAGGCCCTGACTGTTGCTGTCCAGAAGCATGGTTAAATGCTGAGGTAATGGGGTTCCATGTTTTGTGGGTGCCTGGGGTTGGGTGTCAAACCCTCCTTTCCCCTCATAATAGAAAAATCAGAACCAGAGTGCACTGAGCTCTAAGTTAATTTTGAAAGAGTTTCTTAATAGAGTACCTTTCTGAGCTAGCAGCAGCTCTTTACCAATAAGACATTTAATTACAGCTGCCTCACCCTTGAAACATGGTGACTGAAGCTCATTAGCTTCCAGAATCTTTCATATTGTTCTGAGGCAAGTGAGCTCAGCCAGTTTTGGACTGGTCCCTTAATAACTGACACAGAAGGAAGACAGGAAGGAAGGGGAGTGTGGGCCACACTTGAAAATGATTTCCCTTTCTTGAGATAAGGAGAATGATCTGAGACCTCAAACTGCTGTTTAAATACATTACTTTTTAACAAAACCGTACAAGAGCTTGAGAAAAAGCATGGAACCAAAAAGGGAGCACTGATATTGCACTTAAACATGGTCTACTTAGAGAGCTTTAACAAAAATAAGAAACCTTCTCCACCAGGTACTGTAAGTTTCTCCAAATTCTCTCAACTCCATAATTTACCTTCTAAAAGTGTTCCTTTCTGGTACAGTAACTGCGGCTGAGATCTGGCACTGAGCAAAGATCATTATCTGAATCTTAGCCGCACAGAATTAACTCTTATCATGAAGCCTGCATATACTGTAACTGAAGGTGGTGTTCACACAATAGTTGCTAATTCCTGAACAGAGTGAAATCCAAGTGAAAAGAGTAATTTCATAATCTAGATTGTGGAGAAATAATATACTTGTTCCAACACAAGAGCTAGAACAAGAAACCAATCACTGGAGAGAACTCAGATGCTGGTTCGGCTTCTTCTTTTTACCCTTGGGTTATCTTGTGTTGTGTCACTATAGGAATGGTGACTTTCCGTGGACCAGAGCAGTTTTGGAAGATCTTATGCGCTCAGTTGATCTGTGGTTTCTCCTGAGATACTGGCTAAGGCAACACCCTGGTACCGTCTGTCTGGTTGGCTACTGTAGTCCTTATCCTGGTTGTGGATACTGTTCTCAGGGAACCTGAGGCCAGAGCTGTATTCAGAAGGCTGTTCTATTCCATGGACGTTGCTGTATGTTATTATAATCCTGGGTATCTGTGTTGCAGACAGTCTAGAGCGAGAGTCTCCTTTTCGTAGTCCAGTGCCATTCAGGCCCTCACCTGTCTTAAGCATGCAAGGATTTAAGAGAAATGTAAAACACAGATGTCTGCAAGATGATCAGATTGCAACTGTCCACTAAAAGGGAAAGTGACAAACATTTGGACAAGCACTCTGACAATTGCCACTGTTAAACCAAAACAAATCTTATATGAGTGGGAAAGAATTTGACCTAGAAACTTTTTTGATGTATCCCAGGAGTCACTTCTGAGAAATATCTTACTAAACAAACTAATATATCAAAGCACAGAGCTTACATTCCTTAACACTTTGATACTTCAGGCACATTCTCCAGTATTCTGATGAAGGTTCAGGTTAATAATAGCACATGCCTCCGTGAACAATAGCGCAAAGAAGCCAGCATAAGGGTCCGGTAAAGCTAGAAGTACACATGAATTCCAGAAAATAGATGGTTACTTCCCTACAAAAATCTAATCAAATCAGATGGCAATTGAGGCATTATCAGGGTAAGAGATGATAAAAGCTAGACCAAAGTGAACCACAGCATGGAAGCCTTGAAATGAGACACCAAATAGTGAAGTAAACAATGAAGTAAGAGAGGAAACAGTGGAAAGGTGAATAGAATTAATTCAGCAATGGAAAATACTGGATGATACTAGTGAAGGACCAAGAAAAGGACTGTGTTAGAATATCATCTTCATCAAGCTGTAGAGAGAATGTTAAAACTTACTACTACCTATGAAGAGACTTATTTCAGGCACATGTGTTAGCATTCACAATGCAGTCTAAAGATAACACAGATGTACACTCAAATCCTGATTTCTGCCAATATTTCTACCCTCTTTTCCCCCCCTCCTAGGTGGATTTAGGGCAGATGGATTAGAGTTAATCCACTCATGGGAAGTGTTAAAAAATTATCACTATGCCACAGCATTGTCATCAGATGAGAATGCATTAGTATGGGACTGCTCAAAAGGTTGGTGCTCTCCCAGGTTATAAAAGCATATAAAAAAATCACTCACACAAAACCCGCCCCAAAACCACTTACTTGGATTTCCTCAAGGCTATAGGTTCTAGATGGCAGGGCCTACACAAACAAAGAGTAACAAAAGTTTAACAGCTCTCTTTTCTACAGCAATATTCAGTGACTTGGAATATTGACTTCTTTGTAGGAGAAAGCAAATCCTCTACAAAACAAGAGTCAGGAAATATTTTTTCTTTCTTAATTGGGGTTGGAAAAGAAGTGTCTGTTATTAAAGCAAAAGACACAACAGGACTACTATGCCCTTATTTTAAATGCACAAAAGTAAATAAATCTCTTGCATATCATTTCCTTTCTCCAGCGTGATCCATCTTGGATAGGAAAAAAGATAAGCACCTGACGTTTCAAAACTACCCTTGCAAAACCTGTCATAGTATGCTACAGTTATGACCCCAAATACAGCATTAACTGTTGTAGGATATGATTTTTTTTTCAGGTTTTGCTTAAATAATCTAAGAGGCAAAAAAGGCTATATTTTCTATAACGTTTTCTAGAATTTTTATGAGTTCAGGATTCTCCTTCCATTTTCCTTTGCACTCTTGCTGACACATTATGGCTTGGACAGCAGTAAGGGCACAGTCAAGTTTTAGAGTCATGATTTCCACTTAAGTTCATCAGGAGAACTCTTTTCTTCCTCATTCATCTTACTTGTTTCAAGATATAATTAAGGCTTATACAGTATACTTTATCTTCAATTGATAGTCCAACAGCGATCCTGTTTAACATTTAATTAATAAACTATTTTACAATTAGCTTAGTTGTTTAGTATTTTAGACTAAGTTCTTTGGAGCAGGAACCTCATCTTGCTACAATATGTGTTCATACAGAACCTAACACAAAGGGGATCCAATCCTGATCAGGGCTTCTAAGCACTAGTGAGGAGTCCAGTGAGGTCCATGACTTCTTATCCCTGACTAAATCGGGGGGGGGGAGGGCATCTCGTGGATGCTGGGGAGGGGGGCAGCAGCACGCAGCCCAGATGGGAACCCCACTGGTGCTGTGGGGGGTGGGAAGCAGCGCACGGCCCGGGATCCTGCTGGTGCTGTGGGAGGCAGGGCTGGCAGGCTCCCTACCTGGCTCTGCGGGGACATCCCCCTTGCTCAGCTCCTAGGCAGCTCTGCACGCTGCCTCCGCTCAGAGCGCCAGCTTCACAGCTCCCACTGGCCGGGGGAGCTGCAGCCAGTGGGAGCTGCGGAGGCGGTGCCTGCAGGCAGAGGCAGCGTGCGGAGCTGCCTGGTCATGCCTCCTCCTAGGAGCTGAGCGAGGGGGATGTTGCTGCTTCCAGGGAGCCACCTGAGGTAAGCACCACCCAGGTCCTGCCTCACCCCATCCTGTGCACCAACCCCTTGCCCCCTCCCACACCCAAACTCCTGCTGGGGGAAGGGGGAGCGGTGGCCCGAGACTGCTCCAGCAGCAGTCGGTGCGACTGGTGCAGGGGCTGCCTGAGCTGTCCCCGGGCCAGGCGTACCGGCCACTGCAGAAGTCACAGAATCTGTGACCTCTGTGACAAACTCACTGCCTTACTTATGATCATATCTTGCACAGTCAACAGTGGGGGGCAGAGCTTAGTCTGTGTTCAGAGATTAGAAAAGAATCACTGCTTTCTTTCCTCAATTCAACCCCTGACAAATACTAAAATAATACTTACAACAGGAGAGGAAATGCACTCTCTGACATTCAGCTCCACCATGGAAATGTCATCGGCATCTTCAGAAGTCTAAAAGATAAACAAGAACAAAAAGCCCATACATGACACAGGCATGTCACAATATTCAACACCAAGTGGCATGTGAAATACAAGCAGCAGGGGGGGTCGGGGAAGAGGAAACTGAAGGATTGAAATATAGTGAACTACAAAGGACAGTGTTATTTTGTATTCTAGCCTCCATCTCAGTTAATTAGTTACAATATATGACTATGGAGCATAAAAAAGTGTGTTCATAAGTAATTTAGACACTGCAGAACACATGATGAATAAGCAACAAATGACCGTTTAAAAACAGAAATACAAGACTATCAGAAGCAAAGAACAAAACATCCTGCCTCCTCTGCCCCTTGCAAATGTAACAAAGACAACTGGAAAATGAACCAGTGCTGAAAATAGAAAGCTGAGGACCTTTTACAGCCTCATGGTCATTACTCATCACATTCATATCACTTCAAGCTGTAAAGTGTCTTAACCACATAAAGTTAACCCTTAGGGTTATTTCCCCCCACTATGTAGGAACCCTCATTATTGAAATCAAGATGATATTCAATAAAGATAAGTGCAAAGTACTATACTTAGGAATGAAAAAATCGAATGCACAATTACAAACTGAGGAATAACTTTCTACTGCCACCTAGAACAGTGGTTCTCAAAGCCGGTCCACCGCTTGTTCAGGGAAAGCCCCTGGCGGGCCAGGCCAGTTTGTTTACCTGCCGCGTCCGCAGGTTCGGCCGATCGCGACTCCCACTGGCCGCGGTTTGCCGCGCCAGGCCAATGGGGAGTGCGGGAACGGCGGCGACGCCCACCCCCTCCCCCCGCCCCTCCCCCCCAC